GTAGAAAAATATGTCGGTTTAACGTCTAAGAAGATGATGGTGACTTTATTGGCTCAAAAAAAGGTATGTGTATGATTTCTGTGTATCGAAAGGATAGATGCAATATTTCAAGGTTGAAAAGAATATTTCAAGGTCTCAAAGAGAGTTCATGTCAAACATTGGTTCTTTGGTAGTGACCAAGAATTATTTCGAGTAAAAAAATTTAGAGATTTTATTTTGGGGTTTTAGACAGAATAAGAAAGGTCTAATCTTGCCAGATGTCAAAAATATATAATTCTTGAAGAATTAAGAGAATCCATAATTCATTTGATATTCGAAGAAGTAAAGATTAAAACTCTCTCAATTATTCAACCTTAGAAGGTAGCATAAATTCAAACATTAAGATTAAAAAATATTTAAGAACATATTAAAGATAGAAAAAAAGCAATTTCAAATAAAATAATTCCTCAGTGCAAATGGTAGATATAATGACTCCATCCTTTTTCGATTGTCCATGCCCCTGAATCCATCAGGTTCTGGATCTTGTGCTTCAATGCCTTACAATTCTCAACGGAATAACTGGAGCTTCCTATGTGATATCAACTTCATGGACTTCAAGGAACAAAGACTTTTTTCTCATATCATCCTGGAAGGCTCAGTCCTACAACCAGCTGAATATGCTTCCACTGTACTGATTTCACCTTCTTGCTTATATTCTCAATGTCGTCACATGATCATGATCATTTGTATCAAATTCTCCATGAATTAATTTCATGCATATGAAAATGCTTAAAAATTGAAATACAGATGCAAAACGCAAAGATGCAAATGCAGATGCAAAAAATGTTGATCCCAACGATGAATATTGTAGAATAATTTTCACCAGAGATAAAAACATTCACATTACATGACAGTCCACTTTACAGACATGCTTTTGCTTTGAGTCTTAAGTGGATCACTGCTTCGCCTCGGATCTTCGTCCTCGAAAATGATGTCCCTCAATACTCTATAACCTAACTCGATTAGTGCCCCTGAGGTGGTAGAGTCGGTGCGTCACTCATTGATAACTAGTGATGAAATGATTGTAGATGAGAATCTACTGTTAGATTACTCTTTGGCTCAATGGATCATCGTTTCAGTCTCAAATATTGCACAATCTTTGAGCTTACTACTTCGTCTTGTATCTTCGTATTTGGAACTGATTCCCCTCAATGCTCTGCAAACTAACTCAGTTAATGCCTCGGCAGTGCTGAAGCCATTGCGTCGCTCCTTGATGACTAGAGATGACATGATTGTAAATAAGACTCCACTGTTGAATTACTCCTCGAATCAGTGGATCATCATTTCAATCTCGAATACTGCACGATCCTTGAGCCAATCTCATTCTTGTACCCTAAACTTCTTTTAGCCCTCGATGCATGTTTGTGTATGAGACTACTTGATTGAAAACTTTTATCTCTTCTAGTGAAGATTTTCTCATGAATATCTCCTTGCGGATCAACACTTTCACATTATGTTATGATTATGCAATGTAATGCAAAGAAGGATAAAAAGTGACACAAACAAAATAAATAAGTTAGTGTACACAAACAAAAAAGATTAGTTAGTACAAGTAAGACAATCGATACAGATAAATATGTTATTCAAAGATGAATATAACACCTACCCCGTCATGATATTTACCCGAACATGCTTTTATTAAATAGTAATCCTACCCAAACATGTTTTTATTAAATAGTAATCCTACCCAGACATGTTTTCTACCCAAAATGACTAATTTCAAGAAATTGGTCCTAACCGCATGGTCTCTAGTTCGTATGCTTTTATATAACATAATTTAAATCAAAAATGAAAGGTTCAAAAACACTCATCTTTCGTGTATACCTAATTTGGGTACCTACTGGCGGACAAAGGTTTGATATGACTATACCTAGGGTGATCGTTCTACGGTTCACTATATGCATGGTTTCGGCTCTAACAAGAAAAGGGTACTCGAATTGTCCTTGATTTCAGTTCCTTCTTGGGCTGCCAGACCCTCGATCCTTACCCATTACAGGTTTTGAACGAACGAGTTCAATTCGAGGGGATTCATTACCTTATACCCATACGAGGAATAAATCCCTACGACGATATAATGTATGTATCCAATGGGTTATTTGCTAAAACTCATACGAAGAATAAATTATTACGAGAGTAAAGCATTCACCCCGACTAACTTGGATCGAAGCTCATGTCTAGAGCTTATGTTATGCCAATGCAAGTGATGTGTGTAAGGAGGAGCGTACCTACCTTTGACTCAAAAACGGAAAAGAAAAAACTCGACAAACTTAGACATATCTGAAAGAGAAAATTCAAATGTTAGTATGACAAAAAAATGAAACAATTAAAAACTTTAATAAACAGATCATAAGTTAACTAAAGACTCGAACTCATAATTTTCACCACAACGACAAACTGTAAGCGACATATAGCCTGACTCTCTAAAACCGTCCCCAGTAGAGTCACCAAGCTGTTATAACCATTTTTTGATAAAACCAATTAAATATTATTTTAAAAAACAATCATGATTTTTATTTGGAAAAATTGGTGATTTTGGTTTAATTAACTAAAATTGAATAAAAATGGAAAAAGAGTCACCATCGACCTTTAGGTTAGGTAGGTCGAATACCCAAAAAGCGTCTTTTAAAACAATTTGAAGAAAAAATCATTTTTTAAGAATAAAACTGATATGTGTTTACCAAAGATTCGTTTTAAAAGGATCGGGGAGTCGGTTACGTGTGGGAAAGGGTAAGCACCCCCACAACACCCCAAAACTGGTACTAAATCGCTTACACGTTATTGTAAATGGTGGAAATTACAAATCAAATATAAAGTTAAAATATGATCCATTTATCGAACATTGATTAATTTGCTTCGAATTAAATAAATAGAGAAAATTCTTTAACTCGAAAAGAAATCTCAAAATTAGCAATCATCCGTCAGGAAAGCTATCTCGAATATTTCTTATCAGTATTAGAATATTTTCTCCTCATTGATATTAAAAACCCCGAATCAAATATAAAATAGAGAATCGACATTTGCGTGAAATAAATTGTTATTTAGAGAAACATGCAGTGCGTTGTTCGATTTAAAACACAAAATGAATATTAATTAACAAAATAAAGTTGATTTCAAGTTAACATTTTGTTAAAATGTCATATCGGATCGCATCATTTCGACCAAGTGAAACTTTCTATGCTCATTCTACAAATCGTGTTCTTGAAAATGTTCGAATAAACCACTAAAACTTTAATATCAAATAATAAATACATGTAACATTGAGAAAAGAACATTTCATAAAATAAATTAACACATATGATAAATACATAAAGGTGGGACATTAGACAAACATTCAAGATTGATAAATATTAAGTAAATAAACACATACCTAAAATAGCCACGTCAAACACATATAATAGTAATGAAAATACTTTATAATATTTTCATAAAAATTGGAAAGATATTAATAAACTTGTGATAAACCATATTATATATATAGAACGAATAGTAGTTTAAATAAACAAACGAATGTTGAACCGCACAAAAACAAAAAAAAAAGCGTTATCTACATATGTGATTAATCATACAATTTGGTATAAAAGAAATTATGAAAACAAAATAATCACACACCATGAAAAAATATACATATTAAATCAAAGTACATACGGGACTAAAATGATTCAGAGCGTAAATTACCTCTAAAAATCAGAAATTAACCAATAGACAGATCAACAACAAATAGGGACTAAAATACACTAAGCTAAAAGTTAACAATCACAATAAGAATTTATCTGAAAATAAATAACAACCACATAGTGACTAAAATAAAATATACACAAATATCACGACCAAATTAGAAAATTCACGCAATTGCATAAAACACAAAATTAGTGATTAAAATGTACTAAATCATAAATCAGAGCTTAAAACAAAGTATTTACCCAAAACACACTAGTGAACAAATAGGGATGAAAATTAAAAGTAAACAAATATTAAGTCCAAAATGAAATAAATGGAAATCATTAATTGATGACCAAAATGAAAACCACACAAAATTAACAGCTAGATATCTAAATATTTAAACAGATATAAGACAAGACTAAAATGAAATACAAAACAATAAGGGGCTCAAAATGAAAGAATAAAACTTCATCAAATAACCAGATTACATCAATTACAAAGATAGAGGAACCTAAAATGCTATTGTACCATATCCAAAAAATGCAGCCCCTCCATTTGGAAAAACGGCATCGTTCAACGTCTGAGATATATCCCATTTAAGGGGGTGTTTGGATGGGGGAATGTGGGATTCCCATGGGAATGGAATCCACATTCCCCCGTTTGGTTAGCCCGGGAATCCTATTCCCGGTAATGTAAGATTACCAATAGTGGATTTTTTGGGGTATATTACCGGGAATGTCATTACCTCCCTTTCCTTAGGTATTGTTGGATTACCGGCGTTTTGGACTAAAATGCCCTTAAATTTTTATTTTTTTCAAAAATATATTTATTCTGTAATCGAATAATAAAAATTTTACGAAGGTTAAATTACAAATTTATCCTTAAATTATTTTAGATTTACAAAAAAAATCTATAATTAAAATTTTATATGAAGTTCAAGGATTAAAATAAAATTTTACCCTTTCATTAAACTTTTTTTTATTTTTAATTTTGTAAAAAATATATAAATATTATGAATTTAATTTTTTAAAGAAAATATATAAATATTTTCCAACTTGTAATATTACACAAATATATAATTAGGACAATTTGGTCAAATATACATTCCAATAATCTTTTATTCCTTTAACCAAACACGGTAATCTTACATTCCTGCTAAGCCAACCAAACACAAAATACAACATTCCCAGTAATGCTATTCCTTGGTAATCTTACATTCCCACTGGTAATCTTATATTCCGTGAACCAAACGCACCCTAAGGGTTATTTGGAAACCTTAAAAATCATTTCCATAACCCCCATTTCTCAGACTCTCTTCTTGTTTCCTCTCCCCCTTTCTTTCCCTATTTCCTCCTCGCCCCCAAGAAGAATGAAAGCCTCAAGGGCTCCCTGGACACCGTAGATCGGTGGTCACAGGGAGCAAACAAACCCCTAAAAACCCAACGGTTCGTGGCCTTGCCGATGATCCAAGAAAAAGGTAAACTCTCACCCCTCTCCTCTTAGTTTTTTTTTGTTTTCTCTCATTTCTCTTTTGATTTAGGGTTCTAATATTTTTGTTTTTCTCTGGGTAGGAGAAGTTTTTTTTCTCTCTCAGTTCACTCTCCCTGGTTTTTCGAATACCCCTCTGATTTCTCTTTTTTTTTAACCCTCACATTTTGCTTCGAGACCCCCACTGAATCCCCTCTATCCTCCCTTCTCTCTGTTTTCTTCTGTTTATATTCTTGAATTCTCTCCTATCTCTTCTCTGTCTTCATCTGATTTATGTTTGATTGGTGATAATGATGAACTCCATAGGGTAGGGGCATGGCTCTCTGACTTGGTAGGATTAAATCCCGATTTTTCGGGATTTAATTTGGTTTTTTAAATGGGTTTTTAGATTTGATGGATTTGCTCTGATTTGGCTGATGTTTACTGTTGCTTGTCATTGTTGGATTGATTTGTGCAAATCAGCTCTGACGGCGGCAAGGGGAAGCTCCACTGGGAAGCTGGTGTTAACGGCGGTGTCTGGGAGTTGGAAGGCCAAGTGGTTGAGCTTCGGTTTAGGGTTTTAAAAACCCTAAAATTATGGGGTTGTCACATGCTAGGCTCAGGTCGGATCCGGCCGGGTTAGGGTAGGTTAACTAATAACATGGGTCGGGTGTGAAGTCTTAGTGGGTTGTTGGGTTATTGTTTGTAATGGGGCTTGGTTGGACTTCTGGGTTCCAGATTGGGGCTCTACAAAAATTTGTACATTATATATTTATAATTAAAATAAAGATAATAATAGTGAAATAACGATAATAATAAATAAAATAAAATAAAAAAGACCCGGACAAATTGAGTGTCTACAGGAGATTTTCACAACAGCAGTTTCAGGGAAGCAGAAGTGAACGCGAGGAGGAAGAATACGAGAAAGAGAGACTAAAACCGCAGCCGCCGCCACGAGCAGCAAAGCTCATCATGCATCAATCTTCTCTACGCCTTCAAAAGTGAGTTCCTCGGCCACAACTACTTTCTTCTTTCCCAACAGGTTTTCCAATTGGCTTTATCGTTCGTCACCATTGCTTCCTTCGCTAACGCTCGATACTCCTCTCCTCGGCTTTATCATTCATGAAACACCTCACTCATGTTAGCAATCCATATTTGTAATGGAATTGACATGCATACAAGATCATCGAATGTTATCGACATTTTTTACTGATGATGGACTAAGATAACATCTTTTAGCTTTCATTTCCGTCACCCCCTCACTTTCTTTCGGAATACAAGGGGCGTATAGATTACAAAAACTCAATCCGAGTTGATTATTAAAATCCCACGTAAAGACGGGACCAATTTTCGACGAAGTAGCAACCATTAAATGACTGTTAGGATTATTTTAACAAATAAAATTAATGTTAATAAAAGCCTCAACAAATTATCTCTCGGCAAATTGAATGCTTCAAAACAAATCCTAAACAGACATTACTAATTGCTATTATTACCAAATTGTTGCATCGAAAATGGATAAAAGCAACATTAATTATCAACAAGCAAAAGAGACCCCAACTCCTCGTTCAAAACAGAGGAGAGGAGTATCGAGCGTTGGCAAAGGAAGCAATGGTGACGAATAATAAAGCCATCTGGAAAACTCGTTGGGAAAGAATAAAGTAGTTGTGGCCGAGGAACTCACTTTCGAAGGCGCAGAGAAGGTTGTTGTATGATGACCTTTGCTGTTCGTGGCGGCGACTACGGTTGTAGTCTTTCTCTTTCTCTTCTTCTTCCTCGCGTTCACTTCTGCTTCCCTGAAGTTGCTGTTGTGAAAATCTCCTTAGTCTTCTCTGTTCCTCTTCTGGATTGTTATCGAGTTGATTAGCAGTGTTGGCAGTGTGAAGGAGGTTGACAGTAACAAGGCGCTCATTGCCATCGTTGTAAAACCAGTGAACGACGCCGGTCGGCAATGTGATGATAACACCTTTACGAAACCGCCGGATCTTGTGGTGCTGGTCCTGGAACCTTCCATGGCTTTGCTACCCTTGCCACTTGTTAAACTTTCCACGTCAAAAAGAGTGAGTCTGGGTGTTTGAGAATACGACTTTCCAATGAGTTTATATGCGAGTTGATGGAAGAAAGTAAAATGAAAGATAGCGTCGAAGAGAGTTGCTCAAGTAGAGTGTGCACGACGCCTCAATTGCAGAAACAATACTCGTTGCTCGTTGGTTTGTCGCGCCATAATTGGAAACCCAAACTGGAGACGATAAAGAAGAAGTGAAATATTTTTTAATATTAAAAAATACAACACGTGACATTTTTAATAGGTTAACGGTCAAATTTAACGGTCCATCACGACGTGACCCATTTTGAGTTACGGAATAAAACGTTAAGTACCAAACTGAAACGAAAAAAACGTTAGGCACTGAACTAGACAAACAGACATACGTTGGGCATCTTTTTTATATTTAAACCTTAAAAAAAACTAGCAAGGTGGACCTATTCTCGGGGGTGGTCGTCGATTCTGAACACAAGTTTATTACCATTTCTCATCTACAATATGTAGATGATCTAATATTTTTTTGTGAAGGTATTGAAGATCAGATTTTTGGTATTAAATGTGGTAAGAATTTTTGAAATTATGTCTGGCCTTAAAGTTAATACGAGGAAAAAGAGGATCTACGAGATTAATGTAGATGATTCGGTCATTGATGATCGGGATGCTTTAGTGGGTTGCCTTCGGGGTTCTCTACCTTCGAAATTTTTGGGATTAAAAAGAAACTCTCTTGCTCTTTGGGAACAAGTTTTGATTGAGAAAAGGTCTACTCCAATCAATTCGGGTACATTGTTTAATTTGGAGTGAAAATTGAACAATCCTGGCAATGGTCTATTCCAATCAAACGTAGTTTATTTGATTGAGAAAAGGCGTAATGGGAGGAGTTCATGTCTATTCTTTCCTCCTTTAATGAATCTAAGCTGAATAAAGGTTGGGTTAGTTGGTGCGGGGCGAGTGATGGATCTTTTTCGGTTAGATCAGTTAGTTCGCTGTTATTCTCAAACAACCAGTCGAACTCCAATTGGTTAAAGTTAGTGTGGCTTGGTCTCTCCCCTAGAGTTGAATCGTGTATTTGGATTGTGTTACATAAAAGGGATCATGTTAAAGCCGAACTAATCAAGAGGGGTGTATCTAATCTTCCAAATAACCTTTGTCCACTTTGTTCGAAGAATTCATAAAATATTGAACATCTTTTTTTCTCTCGTCCGATTTCTTGGCATGTGTGATATCACTTCCTGGCTATGTGGAATCTAATTGTTGTGCTGCCACAAGACCCCAAAATATTCTTTAATTTCTAGTTCGCGGCTAAAGATGGTAACAAACTGAACATTATTAGAAAATCCTTTCCGTTTGCAATTATTTGGTCTATTTGGATTTCCAGAAAAGACATCATTTTAAGGGAAAGACAATGGACTTATTGCAACTGTTGTTTTTAGTCAGATTCTGTCTTGCTAGTTGCAGTTTGGCAAAATTTTAGAATTTTTTACTCTTGATGGACTACTTCGTGGCAGATTTGGTAAGGGGAATCTGCCCTTTTTAAATCATCATCTACAGTTTCGCTTCCTGTTTGGAGTCCTCCCCCTCGATTGGTTAAAACTAAATGTCTACGAAGCCTTCTGTCGACACCCTTTTTTGTCCGGGCGGGAAAGATCGATTTCGACTCGACGGTTTTTTCTTTAAAAAGAGATCTCGAAATGTGAGGAGTCGCACCAATCATTTAAGGTGCGATTGAGACACCATAAAAATCGGGTGATTTTAATAAAATATTTTATTTTTATCAAAATACCGAGTTTTGAGGGCTGCAAAAATCCAGAAATTGGGTTCGGGAGTTAATTATGCGTGGGGAATGATTAGCACCCCAGAAGCGCCCAAAAATTGGTACCTAGTTGATTACTCTATATTTAAAATCGGAAATTTTAAGTTCGAACTTTATTTAATTTAAAAATCATTAATGATGCAAAAAGTTGATAAGTGTATTCGTTTATTAAGGCCGATAGCATTCGCCCCTAGCATAAACGCGGGGGCTCAACTATTGTGCCTAATAACCGGACATTGCCATAATTTTAAAAATCATGATGCGGTTTTGAAAAAGATGTTGACTTATTTCGGGAATCACCAATGGTCACCCCCTAAGCATGATTGCGGGATATATACTATTAAATCCTTAATAAGTGAACATTGCCTTAAGGTTTAAAAACAATGCAACCAAACAAAAATTTATTTAATCCTAATTAAGCTAAGGTAAAATAAAGGCTTTTGCTAGTTTAAGGTGTCAAATTATGCAAATTAAGGAACCTAGGGAACTAAACCTAAATGTAGGCTATAATATTAATCCTATTTGATTTTAATTGAATATTAAATAGAATAATCGAGATGGTCCCTCGAGCATTTAGGTGAGGGTCAACTCGAATTATTCCCTAAATTAAAAGACTAGTTTATAATCTAACTAAAAGTGGAGGCCCTATTTAACCTATTTAATTATGTCAAAATTAAAACACTAATCGAAGTTCGAGGACTAAAAGTTCAAAGAACTAAAATATCGAGTTCTAAAAGATTTAAAAGTCTAAGGACCTAAATAAAAAATTTCTAAAGTCGATGACTAATTAAAAACCTAATTAATCTAAATTATAAACCTAAAGTTTTTTTTTAAATATTAATTATTAGTAAATTAAAAATCGAGCAATCAATTCAAGTAATCGGGCATCATATGCAAAAACTCCACTCGAATTGCTCTGTAATTAAAACTTAAGTGTCATCCTAATTTCTAAATCTGATTCTAATTTAAATCTAAATCTAAGAAGTAAAACTATGAAATATTAAAACAATCAATAAACATGATAAAAGCAACAAATAAAAAATAAAAACAGTAAAAAAACAACATAAAATAAAAAAAATATGAGGACCTAATTGCATAAATATAAAATTACCAAGCTAACAAGAACAAATTAAACATGCAATAGGGGCTAAATTAAAACAACCAAAAAGTAAGGGCTAAATCGAAATAAAATAAAATGACTAAAATGCAAGAAAATAAAAGTTAGTAACTAAATCAGAAATAAATAGTGACCAAAATGCAAAAATTAAAATAACAATAGTTAAATCAAAAACCAACATTTACTAAATTAAAACAAAACAAAATAGAATAATAAAATTGCAATAAATTAGAAATGAAAAGGTCCAGTGACCAAAACTTAAAAACACGACAAAGTTTGGGGGACTAAAAAAGTGAATAAACCAAAAATTCAAAGCATGCATAGCTATAAGGTAAAATATCAATTTTGGTCACTATAGTGACCAAAATGCAAAAACATTGTAAAGTTTAAGGGATTTAATACGTAAATAAATTATTACTTAACCCTATATATATCAAACTCTTGCCTTTTTTCTCATTTGAAACACAAAACATAAAAAAAATGGAGAGCTCTCCCCTTCCCTCGGTCGGCCCACTACCGGCCGACCCCGAGCAAGCCCCGACTGTCGTCCGACCGTCATGCCAATCTCCGCACACTGGGGCCAGAAAACTAAATCGCCTCAAAAATTCCAAAAAAATCCCCAAGCCCAGATCTACCATGACTTTTCGGCTCCCCTCCAAACTCCGGCGACGTGCTTTCGACTCAGATAGCCTCCGACTCCCACTTTTTATTTCTTTCGTATTTTATTTACGTTGAAAATATTGGTTGATTATTGTTGTTGGGTTTTATTCAAAAAATAACTCTATTTTATTTTATATTTGAAACATGCAAGGGTTTGGTTCTTTTAGA